AGAGTGAAGATCTGACTAAAGAAGAAAACCGAGGTCGTCACAACTCTCAGTCGGCTCTACAATACAAACACAATGTGAAAAAGGGTTAAAGCTATCACTATTCACTAATAACTTACCGACCGTCGATCTCCAATCCTGTCAGGAGTAGTCCACCGTCCACGTGTCTACCCTTTTCCTAAAAATCGCCTTTTCGAGTCGCGTTTTCCGTACTTTCTTGTTCTTACGTGTGAGGATACTATTGGTTGAGAAACAGTTAAAAAAAACAAGCGCCATATGAAGGAGCAGAGAAAGAGATAAGCTGTTTAAGGTTCGGTTGGGTTGGGAACAATGCTAGCAGCCACTTCCACTCTCAGCTCCACTGCTTCTCAACTCACACCCTTAAGCTCTCTATCCCCAAACCCATTTTCTGTCAAATTGTCCTTCACTTTCCGAGAAAATAAGAACAGAATCGCAGTACCCACAAGCTTGAAATCCCAAAGATGCCAGCTTTCTGCTCTTCCTGCTCTGAGAGTGTCTGCTAGTTCCCAATCTGCCCCTACTTCCGTTGAGGCGTCAAAGGTCTCAGCTTTGCCGTCGGAGATGAAGGCGTGGGTATATGGAGAATATGGGGGTGTTGATGTTTTGAAATTTGATACGAAAGTTGCGGTGCCTGAGTTGCTGGAGGACCAGGTTTTGGTAAAGGTTGTGGCTGCGGCTCTTAACCCAGTTGATTTCAAGAGAAGGCAGGGCAAGTTCCAGAACACTGACTCTCCTCTTCCGGTAATTTCTCTTTCTTCTTTTGGATTTTCGTTCATTTGGGTTTGTCTTGGCTGCTGAGAAAATGTAGAGAAAGGAGCTTAATTTGAGTTTGGATTTAAGTTTGGAAAACAAGTGAACATGTTGAAAAAGAATTACAGTAGAGATTGTGATGCGGAGTTGTGAATTTTCGTTGTTATGTGTTCGGATATCTGGAATTTGTGTTGGGATTAGAATCTGTGTTGTAATTATTGTAATTTTCTTGGATGAAATTGGCAAATTGAATGCTGAGAAAGAGTGACTAGAATTGTGGTTGTTCTTTTGGATTGGGTATAATAATAATTATGTTTTAATTTGAATTGAGAATAAATTCATTGCTAGCAAAATTCTAGTTTTAATGTAAAATTGAAGTGGATAAAGAGGAAAATATAGTAAACTTTTCCCTTTCCTATATGATATTGGTCGTGCCAGCTTCATTTGAATGGCACTATTATTAACTCAAGGGTTCTTTCACTTTGTCTCCCTGTAGACTGTTCCGGGATATGATGTTGCCGGTGTGGTGGTAAAAATTGGCAGTAAAGTAAAGGACTTTAAAGAGGGGGATGAAGTGTACGGAGACATAAATGAGAAAGCTTTGGAGGGGCCTAAACAATCTGGCTCTCTTGCTGAGTACACTGCAGTTGAAGAGAGGTTATTGGCGTTGAAGCCTAAGAATCTGGATTTTGTTCAGGCTGCTGCGCTTCCTCTTGCAATCGAGACTGCTTACGAGGGTCTCGAAAGGACTGGGTTTTCTACTGGTAAATCTTTGCTTGTTTTGAATGGTGCTGGTGGAGTTGGAAGCCTGGTGATTCAGGTACCTTAATTTCTACAAATATATTCTCTTCCCATGACTGCATATGTGTTCATACTCTGTTTTTTTGTTTTTTTGTTTTTGGTTGAAACAGCTAGCAAAACATGTATTTGGAGCTTCAAGAGTGGCGGCCACTTCGAGCACCGGAAAATTGGAGTTGTTGAAGAGCTTGGGTGCTGATCTAGCCATTGACTACACGAAGGAGAATTTCGAAGAATTGCCAGAGAAATTTGATGTTGTATATGATGCAATTGGTAAGATTTTGTACAACTACAACTACAAGATGTTTTTCATTAGTATAAGGATAAAACTTAGCAATAGCAAGTCTTAGTAGTTAGAATGGACCTGCAAATGCAAAGCCTAAAAGTAATGTTTCGCTTGAACCACCAGGATATAAATCTAGAGCAAACAGATAGCTGGGTGAAATTATGTGGTTTTAAGTCAAGCTGAAAATCCTTGGTCTGCTGGATACTGCTGCATAATTAACAGCTTTTATGTCAAATGAACATGCTCCTTTTAACATTTTCGTTTTCCATTTGTAATGGCAGGTCAATGTGATAAAGCAGTGAAGGTGGTGAAGGAAGGGGGCAGTGTTGTGGCCCTAACAGGCGCAGTAACACCTCCAGGCTTCAGATTTGTAGTGACTTCTAATGGAGCTGTTTTGAAGAAACTAAATCCATATTTAGAGAGTGGGAAGGTGAAGGCAGTGATAGATCCCAAAGGGCCCTTCCCTTTCTCTAAGCTTGTTGAGGCCTTCTCTTACCTTGAAACCAATCGGGCCACCGGAAAGGTAGTTATACATCCAATTCAATGAAAAGGAAAAAAGAAAAAAGAAAAAAGTTGGGCCAACTTTTGCTGTGTATATGATGTTGCTGCACTCTTTGTAATATGAATGGTAGGCTACTTGAATGTGTTGTGTTAACTCAATTGTGACATGTATAAATGTTGGCAAATAAGTAGATGCTCTTTCTTTTTGGGTGATGTTAAACGAATCTTAAAATTAACTGAGTACACTATACTATCAAACTATTTATTGAATTAGTAATTAACCTTAATACAAAATGACGAAAAAGAATATATTGAATTGTGAAACAAATGTAATTTTAATAAGTATACCCTACTTATCATATTCAACTCTAATCAAACGTAAGCGAAAATCCTGCGAAGATGGCAAGTTAGTAATAGCAATGGATGGTTAGTATAATGCGAAAAGGTGTTGGAGGCATCAAAAGGAAAATGTGGTCCCTAAACCCTTTGTGTTCGTATAACGTCCCCTATTTTTTACTCTAAAAAATATAAAGCAACCAAACCAATCAAGATCGAACAATCAGGTAAACGAAAAAAGTTCGCTTCAACTAAATATTTATTTGTAATATATTGTATAATATAATTATGGTATACAAACATTGGAGATCAAAACTGCTGATCACCAAATACATATTATGATTTTCAATTAACCAAATATTATTGAGAGGAATTGCAAAGGGTGAACAGGGATCTGGGGATTCAACTACCCAATATTGGAAGATGAAGCAATCTTATCGCACTGCTTCACTATGATTTTCAGTCTCAGGACTCTTAATCATACATTATTGATACGAATGCAATGGGAGACATAAGTCCTTCTACCTAGTATCCTTCGATAAATGATTGAGGGATTCAACTTTCCGGGCATTGCAGAGTTCGTCAATGTGGTCCTTCCTTTTCTAAAACAACTGCAGTCAGTTTTCGAATGAGTTTGGTATTGTGTGATAGAGTGTATTAAGATGTACCAGTGGTATTTTTGGTAGTTAAATAAGGTGTACTTAGTTAATTTTACATTTTGATTTATATATTAGGGTATACTTAGATCATAGGGTGTACTCAGTTAATTTTAAGGTGCACTTTTGATTTATATTTTGCCAAACACTTAGAAACACCCCAATGACCTGAGCCAATTCGTCCAACACCTATTGGTAATAACTAATAAGTAGATGCTCTTTACCAATGCAGAAAATCTAACATGCAATAGTGTGGAAAACCTAACTTCAATCTAATCACAAGGCCTGGGCACTCCCAAGACTCGTGACAGAGGGTAAAATAGTATTTATGAAAAATGTTTAGGAGAAAAGAGTGGTGGGTATGTTCAGCAATTTAACGGGTCTGAATAGATAAACCCAAGCCATTACACTTTTGGGCCCTGGACAGGTCTGCAACATAAGCACAGTTCAAACCGCCTAAGTTCTTTTTTTGTAACTCGGGGCCAGGTTAATGGCCAGCTTATCCTATTACTGGCCCAGAGAAGAGGCAAAGAAGTTGATCATGGGGTTAAATTTTGTGATTTATTAAGGGGAGTTCGAGACAATTTTAGTCATAGATGGCAAGGTCTAAGATTTTTTAAGCTCTTGTGATAGGCTTTCATCTTACGACGTCAATGTCAGATAGAGCTTCGGATGCAAAACGGAATGCTCTCAACCACTTGAGCTGTGCTCATTTGTTTTCTCTTTAACGTTAAAAATAGGTAAGATTTATAAGCCAAACGAGCAAAATGCTATGCGTTTTAGCATTGAAGGCATGTTGTACTAGGAGCATTCATTCAAGGGGATACAAAAATCAAACTAGATATTGACTCAGCATA